ACCGCGGGGGTCCGACAGTCTGCGCGCTTGGGCCGTTCTCGGGCCCCGGGACCATCGTAAACGAGTCCGGGGCGAACACACCGTCCCTGCGGTCCCCCTCCTCCTCCTCCTCCTTCTCCTCCTTCGGGGAGGCAAGGAGGAGGGAGGAGGCGACAGGAGAGGAGCGACACGGGGTGGAGAAAGGAGGAGGGATGAGGGAGAACGGCAGGGGGAGGGTATGAGGATGAGCAGGAGGAGGAGGAGAAAGAAGTAGAGGAAGACGAATAATAATAATAATAATCATACTAGTAATAGTAATAGTAATACGAAAAACAATAAGACGAACAATAAAAATAAGAACAATAATAATAATAATACTAATAATAATAATAATCATCATAATAATCATAATCGTAATCATAATCATAATCATAATGATAAGAGAAGGAGGAGGAGCAGGAGGAGCAGGAGGAGCAGGAAATGCAGGAGGAGGAGGAGGGGGACCAGCGTAATCCCAAGAGTCATCAACGATGTTTGAATAGACCCTCCCTCCAAGCTCCCTTTTTTCATAGGCCCCATACAACTGTTCATTCCCATTGAAGGAATTGCGTCTTTGTAAGACAACTATTCGAAGAACCTGAATCGTGCCAAAACAGTGTTTTCGGGAATCCAACGCCACGGATCAACCTGACTGTTGCGTCTTGACAATCCTGAATCGTTCCCAAACGCCTTTCTTGGGACTTCAACACAGCGGATCAACATAACTGTTGCACCCGCATGATCCTGAATCCTTTCAAAACACCGTCTCTGGCGCGTTGATGATGGGAATCTATGAATCTTTTGCAACTGTTTAAAGCGAATGTGCGCGGCGTTAAGGCGAGAGCCATAGTTTCAAAAGGAACCGCCCTTAATCCGTGAAGCTCATGCAAGTTTGTGCACGAATGTGCGCCGCGCTAAGGCGAGAGCCATTTTTTGAAAACGAGCCACCCTCAATTCGCGAAGCTCTTGCAAATTATTGAAACGATGTGCGCTGCGCTAAAGGCGAGAGCCACATTTTGAAAATGATCCGCTCTCAACCCGTGAAGCTCTTCCAAGGTTTAAATCGAATGTGCGCCGCGCTAAGGCGAGAGTCACATGTTTAGAACGACCCGCCCTACATCTGTGAAGCGGTTGTCATTTTTCAAGCTTCAGAGTCGTAAGCGGTGAGGACGTCTCAGGCGGAACGCCCGTCCCGCCCTGATAACTGGTCTCGGGTTGCGACAGGGAGGAATTATCTATAAGGAAAGGGAATGGAAGAGGAGGAGGAGGAGGAGGAGGAGGAGGAGGAGGAGGAGGAGGAGGAGGGGAGGAGGAGGAGGGAGGAGGTGGAGGAGGAGGAGGAGGAGGGAGGGGAGGAGGAGGAGGAGGAGAGGAGGAGGAGGAGGAGGAGGAGGAGGAGGAGGAAGGAGGAGGAGTAGGAGGAGGAGGGAGGAGGAGGGGGAGGAGGAAGGAGGAGGGAGGAGGAGGAGGAGGAGGAGGAGGAGGAGGAGGAGGAGGAGGAGGAGCAGGGGGAGGAGGACCCGCGGGGCCGCGGACCGAACCAAGCACACCGGCACGCCGGTCGGGCTCCCGAGGCCTGCGGCCGTGCTCGGGCCACCAGGGAGCCTTTCGCGGCACCCTGGAGACGAGTCCTCGGACGACGTGGTTGTCGTCTTCGTAGTCATTGCTTTGCCGATCGGCGCGGGCCCTCGCACCTCAGAGGAGGAAGAGGTACCCATACCTCTCCCCCCCCCCCCTTGTGTTCCCCTCTTCGGGGCCTCCTGGGAGGCCCTCGTCGCCACCGCTGGATTCGTCCCGGCATCCTGGTCAGAACGCACCCCAGGAGAGGTCCGGGGAGTAGCGGCATCGGTGCCTTTTGGTTTCCCCAGCACCCCCCTCCCCCTCCCCAAGTGGAGTGGATCTTGGCTGTTTTTTGGGGGCATGTTTCGAGCAGGTGGAGTCTCCCCCATAGGACGCACTGCTGCAAAAACAATGGCATTGAGCAGGGGTCCGGAGCCAGAACACCCCCCTCCCCCCTCCCCCTTTCCGCCCAATGCCGAAACGCCAAAGAAGGAAACGCTCACACGTTGGCCCTGGGGGCAGGCCCCTGGGTCGAGGACCCGTTTCCTTTTTAGGACCCGTTTGTTCCATGCCAGGAACCTGACGGGAGCGTGCGCCGCTGCCGTCGCCGGTGTCCCCGTGGGCTTGTGCCAGAGCTGCGAGGCCCGGGCGGGCACGTCGATTCGGTCCCGATCCGGCTCGATGCCGGCAGTTTGACGATCCGCACGGGAGGAGAGTGACAGCGATGCCGCTGTTCGCCCTGCAGAACCCTCGTCGCCACGGCTGGAGCCTCGAAGGTCTGATCAGTCCGCGCTACGGTGAGGTTCGTGGAGCAGCGGTGCGCGTCTCCTCTCCTCCCCCAGATCCGATACGGCCCGCCGCTCGCACGGCGTCGTTGTTGCAGCCTTGCGCGGCCGTTCCCATTCGATTTCGATTCCGTGCCTCCGATGCGGCGATGTATTCGTATCCACTGCCCGGGGGATCTATCTTCGGGGACCTCGGCAGGCGGTGAATGCATGGATGCGTTCTGGCCCTGGGGGGGGGCAGTTCTATTCACATTCACCGCCCGCCGATGTCCCCGAATATCGATCCCACGGGCGGCGGTGAGGGATCCATTCCCGCCTCGCGGGGCCGATGCCGCCCGGTCCGACGCGCGTTCCGATCCGGGCCGATGTCCCGATTCGATGCCGATTGACCTTGGAGGCCAGGGAGCACCACCTCTGGGGCGGCCTGTGCGTCGCCCGCTGTGAGCCAGCTGGCGGCTGTGAGCGCGCCTGCGACATGGCCTTTGGCCCGCCGGCACCGCTGCCGACGCCCGCGCCCACGCGGTCGGCGGCAGTCGATCTCCAGCTTAGATGCTTGTTATGGGGGCCTTTCTTGGACTCACCTGATTGACGGACCTGTTCGACTCTGGCCCGATTCCAGTTCGGCCGGGGCCCGACTCCAGCTTGACTCGGGTTCGGCTTCAGTCGATGGACGTTCGACGCAGCATCGACGCATGCTTGGAGTGTCTCCGGTCGGTGCCGTTTAACCAATCCCCATCCTCATCCCCATCCCCTTCCAGACCCCCACCAACTTACCACCCCAGTTGGGGATACACCCCTCGAAACCCGAAGAGAACGGCCTATATCCCGATATACGGGGGTAAATCGGCCACGCCGCTGGGTATGGGGGTCGGTTCAACGATACTCATCCGGGCATGTCCCCAGAACGAGCATCTAGTCCCTCCCAGCTTCCGCCCTGTGGTCCCGCTGCTACCTGCTCAGCCCACGGTGAGCCCGACCCCCGCGCCGCCCACGGCAGCGCCGACCTCTGCGCCGCCTACGGCGGCGCCGACCCTGCCGCCGACCGCAGCGCCGACCCCGGTGCCGACGCCCGTGCCCACGCCGCCCCCGACCATGCTGGGCCTGTTTTCCACCACCACCACCACGAGAAGTTGGAAGGGGGAAAGAAGGTAGAGGAGGAGGAGGAGGAGGAGGAGGAGGAGGAGGAGGAGGAGGAGGCGGAGGCGGAGGACGAGGAGGAGGCGGAGGAGGAGGTGGAGGAGGAGGTGGAGGAGGACGACGGAGAGGATGTGGAGGTGGAGGAGGAGGAGGTGGAGGAGGAGGAGGAGGAGGAGGAGGAGGAGGATTGGACGAGGAGTATTGGAGGAGGAGGACCCCCTCCCCCTCCAACTCTTTGGTGGTGGTGGTGGTGGGTGGAGAACAGGCCCAGCACCATGCTGCTGTTCCACGTGCGGGGCGAGGTCTCCCTGCAGAGCGAGGGCACGGCGGCCCAGGTGCGCAGCGCCCTGCGCGCCGCCGTCGCCGAGGCGCTGGGCGTGCCCGAGGCGGCCGTCTCGGTGGCTGCCGCGCTCGCCGGCGGCCGGCGTCTGGCCGCGTGGGCGGCGGAGTGGCGGTCTTCTCATGGGGCAACGATAGGGGGGCACAGGCTTAAAGGGGGGGTGCATCGACCCCCAGTCGCCCATGGATCGCCGATAGGGGTCTGATAGCCCCACCCGGCCCAGGAAGGTGCGGACTCGCTGTCGGGGGCCTATCGTCGACCTATCGGCGATGTATCGCTGATTCCAGGTCGGTGCACCCCCCCTATGCCAGTCCCCCCTGTGTCGTTGCCCCTCGTCTTCGAAGAAGAAAGAACGCCGCAAACGTAGACTTTTGGCCTCCGCGCGGATTTCGTGGATCTGGGCTGGGGCCCCCCGTGGCGGCGCCTCCGGCGCCGCCCCCGGCGCGCTCCGCGCGGCAGGGAGGGGGGGGGTCCAGCGCAGATCCAGGAGATCTGTTTCTTTGTCGCAACCGCAGGCGAAGGCGCCAGCGGCGAGTCGAGTCGGCTCGGGCAGCGAGCGGAACTGATTGCCGGCGCGCGCGCGGGGATCCACGAGGTCTGCGCGGAGCGCCACAAGTTTATGTTTAGACCGTTTCTTCTTCTTCCAGGTCCGTGGCCGAGGGTGCAGAGGCTGCAGGCAGCCTCCTGCAGTCTGCGTCCAGCATGCACGGCGACCCCAGCGCCCTGGCGGGCGGCCTGGAGAGATGGTTTGCAGGTGCTCGGGGAAGGGCCAGGCTGCCACGAGCTCTAAACCGTCGGAGGTCCTTGCGGACCTCCTGCAGTGTTTGTTTACGGCAGGCTGCACGTCGTATCGACGCGGCGGCGACCCCGCCGCGCACGCTCCAGGTTGAGCGCCGCCAGTGGCTCAGAATCGGCCGCTCCGGAAGGGCCTGGCGATCGGAGGGCCGGCGGCCGTTCAAGGCTGAACGGTCCACGTGGTGTCAGAAAGCAACGCCGGCGCCGTCACCTGCAGCTCCCCCTTTGCCAGGTGGGGGTTGTTGGATTTATACAAGACGTCTCCCGATCCGCCTCGCGCACCGTGCATGCCGCGGCCGGCAGGCCCCAAGGGTCCTGGTGCACCCCGTGTATCCCGCTTCGCGTCTTCGGCGAGCGACGACCGCGCGCCGCTCCTGCCAGCCCCACAAGGCCCCAAGGGCCCAGATGCTCGCTTTCGGGGGTCACGTGCGAGCCCCACCCCTGCCCCCCACGGTTTCTGGGGGGGGGGGGAGGGCGAGCGAAGTGACCCCCCCCCATCCTCCCCCTCAGAAATCGTGGGGGGCGGGGGGGAGGTTCGATCATGTGGCCCTTTGCCCTTGGGATCCCGCGTTGCGGTCTCGGGCGGGGATCCCTCCAGGCAACGCCTACCCCTGACATCCCGAGATTTGTTTTTTGCCACCCGCGGCCCCAGGGGCTCCGCCCGCTTCCCCAGGGCCGGCTCTGCGCGCCTGGATCCGCTGTTGGGTGGGCCCGGGGGCCGAGGACGGGCCCCGGGAGGCCGAGATCGAGGGCGCCGCGATGGAGAAGCTCGCGCCGGCGGCGTGCATCCCACCGAGGGAGGAGGATCCCGGTCTCGGCGATGGTGGTCGCACTTTGGCTGCCAAGGCGACCGAAGTATTACCACCAGCGCCGGCATTTAGGATCAGGTTCCCCCTGTGGAGTGTTGGTGCCCCTTCCCAGGCCTCCAAAAGACGCCGCGACGGAAAAGTTCGTATGCTCGGAGATCTCGGTTTTTGCTCCTCCAGTTTAACTAGTGATGCTCCAACCTACTTTAGCCTGAGTCACGAGAAATACTTTCGATCACCAAAAGTACCAAAACTCGAAGGTTTGGGATGTGGTCCTGAAGTATACGATGGGAGCAACATGGCTCCAGGTACGGGCCTTGCTTTCGACAGCGCGTCCATCTCCGTCGGTGAGCCCGTCATGGAGAGCCTCGCGCCGAGCCCGGCGCCGACGCCTGCCCCGCCCACCCCGTCGCCGCCCACCGCCGGCC